AGGGCAAGCGAGGCAGGGGTAGGCCCAGAACAACATACTTAGGGAACCTAAACAAATGGGTAACAGGGAAAGATCAGGGAAACGTAGCTTTTTTTTTAGAGCATCCGAGCAAAATGAATGAATGATCACCGATATCTGTCGCAGATCTGGCACTGGACGATGATATATATATATATTTATATAGCACTCTATTCCACACGAGTATAAGCTCTGAGCCGATTTTTAAAAAATCAGAAACACGAATGCGCGTATTTCTTTATATGGGTGTTGTAATTTCCCTTTTGTACGTTAAAAAAGAAAAAGGAAAACGAAAGAGAGAATCTGCCCATGAAGAACGAAGTTACGTTTATTTTTTTAAGGGCTCCAAAACAGTTCGTCTTCTGCAAGTTTTGTTGAGAGACCAGCATGCACAGTCTCGAAGAGTTAAGCGCCCTTGCACCACAAGGCTCTCAATTTAAGGTCACAACTCTCACAAACTTGGCAGTGATAGCTCATAATATTTACACGCTCATCGATACAGTTGTCTGGTTGACAAGTAAACAAATGGTCACGATCGCTTGAGAGAGAAACGTTTTTGATAAACGTGAAAGTGAACGGGCAAGAAGAGTCCTGGTTTGTTGGGAATAACATGACATGCTTGAGATGATTTCTTTGGTTGAGATACACAGCTAGCTAAAGAAGTGTGGCTCTATAAGCGTGGAGCCACAGGGAAAATATCAATCGCTTGGTATCAAGTTTTCAGGATTGTAAATTGAAGGTCGGGTGGCTAAAAATATGTGCCCTTTCTGTTCCAGTTAAATTTGTGCTTATTCCATAGGCAGTTAATGCATTAACTTTTTGTTTTTGGGTGCCTCCAGTTCTATATTTCAGGGTTGTTGTTGTTGTTGTTGTTGTTGTTGTTGTTGTTGTTGTTGTTGTTGTTGTTGCTGTTATTGTTGCTGTTGTTGTTGTTGTTGTTGTAAAATGGAACGCTGATATGGGGGTATGGCAGCACAACCTTCTGTTTCGTATAAAGTATATGTGCTACTGGCCATCACGTCAAAAGGAGAAATGGTCAGGAGACATTAAGAGATGTGTAATCTGACTAACACTATAAGCTTTTTATAAAAATTAAAAAACCAGAAGAAAGCTTGGTATACGAGAGGCGGGGCAAAGCGCGGGGCGA